TGAACTCAGTTTTAGAGATATGGACGCTCAGCCTCCGAATACGCCCTAAACAGTATTTGTAGTGTGCAAATGAGTGTTGTTAAAAAGCCACAGTCTGAAGAATTCTAGCTGGGCAAAAGAAAGTATACACTTGGAAATTGTTGCGTGGATCGATGCTCATGATGTCAATCACTGGATTGTCTGGTCCAGACTGGATTATTTACAGATCGCCGTCATATAGCTGGAATATCGCTGAGTCTGGTGGTAAACAACAAACAAAAATATATAGACTCCCTGGGCCCCGTTCCTCAAAGCGATCTTAGCACTCAGGTGATCGTAAGTCCCATACTTTAACATAGGCTTACGATCATCGTAGTGCTAAGATCGCTTTGGGGAACGGGGCCCTGGTACGACTGACTATAGAACTGAGGTATATCACACTGGATAGTCGATGTTGGGGGAGGGGAAGACTTCGGTGTTAGGTGTACATCCACATTAGGCAAACTCCCTTAGTTGAAAACCTGGGAAACAGAATATACGTAAATCATGTTATGCGAAAAACGTCACCTTGGAAACAGGAACGGTCGTTGGATGTTGTGTTTACAGTGTTAGTATATGCCGTTGATGCCTCATCAACACTCCCCTCCGCGTGTGACAACTCAAAATACCCTTTAACAGCTTGCCTGGCACGATAAAGGAAGTTATCGCTAGTTGTGATCATTTCCATAGCAACACAGGTTTTAAATCAGGAAGTGTTACGCTTTAAGTCCTATAATTCTTCCCCGACAGTCTTCGCACAAAGACAACACTGGGGGGAACAGTGACTTGTAGGTCTCGGTTTGACTTGAGGTGAGTAAAAATAAGCACCACATTGTATAACGGTTTTTATAAAGGAATGGAGATGGTGGTAGGGGGTCTCCCTCGAACAGAGACTTAAGACCGCCACCACAACCTCCCGGAGCTCCTGTGATATTTTGCGTGTCACTCCGATGTCAGTGAACAGTTTGACCAGTTCGTTTCTGACGTAAGTTATATTGATTTTTAGGTTTCTTTTGGGGTGAAAAACCAGTTAATATTCATCATGCGAATTCGTTACTCGCGTGACTTTCATATAAGGGGCGGTGGGGTTGCCTAGTGGTTAAACTGTTCGCTCGTCACGCCGTAGATCCGGGTTCGATTCCCCACATGGGTACAATGTATGAAGCCCATTTCTGGTGTCCCCCGCCGTGATATTGTTGGAATATTGCTAAACGCGTCGTAAAACAATACTCACTCACTTGTATAAGATATCATACAGTACAGCTGGATGTGGAGATCCGGGTTAGAATAGGTCTTCAGCAACCCATGCTTGCCGTAAAAGGTGACTATGCTTATCGTAAGAGGCGACTAACGAGAACGGGTGGTAAGGATCGCTGACTTGGTTGATGCATGTCATCGTATCCCAATTCCGTGGATCTATGCCCATGAAGTCAATCACTGGATTGTCTGGTTCATTATTTATAGACAGTCGTCATATAGTCATATTGCGGCGTTATACAAATAAACAAACACATAAACAACAGTACAGCTGACTGGACCGTTGCTACGGTGCGTCCGGGCTCAGTATAGCTTTGTTCTGCCGATCAGTTTTATTTTGATTGTTTTTCTGCATGGCGATTAGGCGTTGGTATCATAATTCACAGGATCGACAGCTCGAAATAATGCCAGCTCCGGGAGTATCGCACTCTAATGGACGTTCAAAAGCAGCTCCTTATAAACGTGGTTTACCCCTTCGCAGCAGTAAGTAATGGTTTTGGTCTAGTCGACTATTCACTATGTATCTTACTTCGTTTTATCCGAAGTTCAACCCTCCTCGGGAGTAAGTGTTGGTTTTGTTCTGGTCGAGCATTAAATTATACATTCCATTTCGTTATATCAGAAGTTAAGACCTGGGTAATAAGTACTGGGTTTTTTTTCTGGTCGAGTATTAAATTATACATTCCATTTCGTTATATCAGAAGTTAAGCCCTGGGGAATAAGCATTGGTTTTGTGTATTGGCCGACTATTAAATTATACACTCCATTTCGTTATATTAGAAGTGAAGCCCTTGGGAATAAGTAATGTTTTTTTTCTGGTCGAGTATTAAATTATACACTCAATTTCGTTACATCAGAAGTTAAGCCCTGGGGAATAAGTATTAGTTTTGTTCTGGTCGACCATTAAATTATACATTCCATTTCGTTATATCAGAAGTGAAGCCCTTGGGAATAAGTAATGTTTTTTTTCTGGTCGAGTATTAAATTATACACTCAATTTCGTTACATCAGAAGTTAAGCCCTGGGGAATAAGTATTAGTTTTGTTCTGGTCGACCATTAAATTATACATTCCATTTCGTTATATCAGAAGTGAATCCCTGGGGAATAAGTACTGGTTTTGTTCTGGTCGACTATTAAATTAAACATTCCATTTCGTTATATCAGAAGTTAATCCCTGGGGAATAAGTACTGGTTTTGTTCTGGTCGAGTTTTCGACATATTCGGGGACGGCTGTAGAATTAGATACAATATGTGTACTGAGAGAGTAAGAGTTACTAAGATGTCGGTTATACAACACTTACCAGGCTTGTATACACTGTGTACCTCTACTTGCGACGGACGAACATACACATCTAGGGGTGGCCACACCCCTCCACCCCCACCAACACTGTTTTGCATCTGATGACGTTTCGTATACATTTTGTATACTCATTGCCTACCACGATAGCATGTTCATTTGTTTGTTAAAGAAAAAATAACATATATAGTTTACATAAAGTATTCGTGATTTGGGGGGTAGGCTTTTGTGTGGACCCCCATCCCCACTGATGTTACAAATGGCCCAAGTGAACCCCCACCCACCCCTACCCCCACCCCCACCCCCTTTAAATTCATGGATCCGCCCCCGCACATTCGTGAAGCATTACCCACGGAGCAACGCCCAACTCACCCTCTAGGATTAACAGGAACAATTCAATATCCGCCAAAGAAAGCACAACATATTCTGTGCACCCTCTTCAGTCCTTGTGAAAGACACGACACGACATGCTGCACCCATTGGTATTTCTAACATGACGACGGACACGCATTACAATGGACAACACGGGGGAGTACTACACAATGAACGCTCCCAACTGCAGGCTGCACTCTAATTGAAAATCAGTACAGAGAGGTATCGTTTCTGAGTTAAAGATTTGATATGGTGATTGCTGGCTGCTTCAGCTGGGGAGCATTCATTGTGTATTCTACGATGATGTTAAAGAATGCTTGAAACTGATTGGTTGAAGAGTGATTTAACTTCACACTTAATGACAGTGTTAGTAACGTGGATGGAATGGTTCTTTCCCTTTCAGATTTAAGCCTGTTCAGTTATATTGTTTGTTTGTTTATTTGTTGTTTAACACAGCACTCAGCAATATTCCAGCTGTAAATAATCGAGCCTAAACCAGACAATCAGGTTATGGACATCATGAGCATCAATCCATACAATTGGGATCGGTGACATGCATCAACCAAGTCAGCGAGCCTGACCACCCGATCCCGTTAGTCGCCTCTTACGACAAGCATAGTCGCCTTTTACGGCAAGCATGGGTTGCTGAAGACCTTTTCTACCCCGGATCTTCACGGGTCTCAGTTACAATGAGTAGACATGTTTTTCAGCGTTATTCCATGCTTCAGGGCGTTCGCTGTACATGTATTATATAATCGCTATTCATGCTTGGATGGCATCATTTGATCGTTCGATTCGGATGGCGCAGACACGATCGAGAAAATTAATGCAAGAGATAATCATTTGCTCGCCAGACCGAAGACCCGGGTTCGATTCTCATAGTTGTGAAGCCCATTTCTGGTGTCTCCCTCCGTGATGTTGCTTGTCTGTTCCCGAAACCGGTGTTAAACCACACTCACTCACTCACAATATAAGATGAGTTGAAATAAATGTCACGTCTTTTCAAATGACAAACGTGTATATAATATAGGATTCGAATCATTGGAATCCTTTGTACATCTGAAGCCTTCCACCCGTAGAGCTTTCCACCTTCCCAACTCTCATAATATTATATATTCTGTGCAATAACTTGCATAATTTGTTTAATCAGTAATGCTATTATCGACTATTAATATATATTTTTGTAGCAGTATGTTCTTTTAAACTCTGAGTTCGTTTTAACCGTAGTTTACATATTACAGTAAACTACGGTTATAACGAACTCAAAGGGGCCACTAATTTTAGTTCGTAATAACCGTAGTTCGTTATAGGCATATATACAGCATTTATACAACAAATGGTCGGGACTAAAAAATAAGTTGGTTATATCGGTCAGTTCGTTATCAGTGTGTTCGTTATAAACGTACTTTACTGTACATAGTTCTACACACGCGATGACATATTTCACTGTTCGTAACTTTGTATGCTGAATCCTCTGAACTCCGATATGCAGTTTGGGGTACGCCCCTCCTCGTCTCTGTACAAGGGCTACAGCGTTCCTATAGAAAGTTGTACTGAAGTGGGGCATAATTTAGTGCGTTCGTACCCTTGATACACACGTAACACCTCCTCAGTCTTGGATTTCCAAGGATATTTATTATTTTTTAAAAACCTGCACATCGTAGTTTGTTTGTTGGTTGTTTAACGCCGCACTCAGCAATATTCCAATAAAATAAATAAATTCCAATTCTGTAAAGAAAACGTTTTTTTAGTATGACCGGCTGGGAATCGAAACACCGCCATTTCGCTCCGGGTTATATCCACTACACCGCAGAGGTTGGCTAGACAGGACAGGGATATAACGGACTAAAGGTTGTCATTTAAGTACTGTTAAAAGCGTCGTTAAACAGAGCTCGCTCACTCAACCACCCATCCAATCCCTCACCACATGCATGGTCTAAAACGTTCATGTTAACAGTTTCACTGTACGTGTGGACATGTACATATATAGTCTATTGCACGACAAGGTTTGTGTTTATATTGATATACAACGTGTCGCAGAGCAGCTTAGTCACTGAGCAAACAGAGCTCGGGCCTCGGCTAACACTTGCACAATACTCAACGCGTATATGTCTGTTCAATGACTCAGTCTTTGCTGTGGAGAAAGGGCGCATTACACATTGTGGACGGTCTTACATTCTTTCGATCAGGACAACACGGTACTAATTGAATTTTGCTTTTAATATATCCAGGTGAGGCGTGAAAAATGTATACCTTTTCGGCTATGAATTACCGCTTATGAACTTACGCAACTTATTCTCATGTGTTTTTTATCATAAACGAGGTGTGAGCAGTCAAGGTGAGTTACGTCGACAGGCTTGTAACAGGTCGGAGCTCTGTATTAAAATTACGGTGGGCTGTATAGGCTTGGCTCAGGCTGTCAAGGGAGTTACGCTGACACAGACAGTGTGGTGAGGTGAAATGGTGTTTAACGTCGCGTCCAAGATTATTGCACTTATATAACGACGTGTGTGTGTGTGTGTTTGTGTGGCTGCTTGTACTAGTCCGGACTGAAGTACATGTGCTAGCTCACTGGGAAACCATGCCGCATGACATGAACACCCCACTCAGACACAGTATACTGACTCCGAGCCTCTTAATGCCGAGCGCCAGACAGGGTAACAACAAGTACCATCTTTTAACGTATTTTGACCGCCTCCGTGGTCTAGTGGTAGAGCGTCCGCCCGGAGAGCGGAAAGTCCGGGGTTCGACCCCGGCCGCGTCATACCAAAAGACGTTAAAAGATGGTACTTGTTGTTACCCTGTCTGGCGCTCGGCATTAAGGGGTTAAAGCAAGGACTTGTCGGCTCGGAGTAAGTATACTGTGTCTGAGTTGGGCATTCATGTTAAACACTGGTATCTCAGTGGGCTAGCACTATAAATCGGCATCAGTCCGGTCTTGTACAAGCAGCCACAAACACACACACACACACACACACACGTGCATGCACGTCGCTATATAAGTGCAATAATCTTGGACGCGACGTTAAACTCCATTTCACCTCACCTTTAACGTCTTTAGGTATGACGCGGCCGGGGTTCGAACCCCGGAACTTCCGCTCTCCGGGCGGACGCTCTACCACTAGACCACGGAGGCGGTCCGACACAGACAGTGATCAGCTTAAAGACGAGAACGGATACGGGGAATAGCAGTGTAATATAACCGGACTGAATGTGAGATTTCAGGCCAACATTTAGGTTGAACAGGAAAGGCTAAATGGACCGTTCCTGGTCAGTCAGAGTTCTTGTAATCTAAACATTACGCACTATTTGAATTAAGAATTGACATCAATATTTTTTTCTCGCTTATGGAGGTATAAACGTTAAAGCCGATGTGCACCCCGGTATCGTTTTGTTCAGAACAAAAAAACACAAACAAAACATTAAAAAGTTATTTTTTATATATAAACACGCCGATAACAATAACCTACTGCTTATTTAAGCATTAAGACAATGCTTAACGTAGACAACAACACTAACTTCGTTAGTGACATCGTAAATGACACCGTTCAGCGCAATAACCCAACAAAATCCCCGACCATTCTATCATCAATCAGTCAGGAAACAGTAGTCTGTTAGTGGGCCCGGCCTATTCTTTTCGGTTTATGAAAAAATCACGCCAAACGTTGCTTAGTGAGCCAATGAAATGCCACGGATTCACTTGCAATGTATTTGCAAGCGTTTATACACGTCAATGGCATATGGTGGCCAGTGGTCCTGTGCACAGCGCACAAGTCACAATTCGCATGAAGTTAAGCAACGTCGGAGTCCGCGTTTCGGCAGCTTGACTCCTGAGAGTTTCCAGGGCTTCGGTCCTGCCCCACACAGAAACACATGTACCACATGTGGTGTCTCCTTAGGCAAGTGACTTTGTTCGAAATGTGCCTCTGTTCACCCAGCAGTGAATGGGTACCCGGTAGGATGTTAACCTTCTAGCGCCTAACAGGCAGCTTAGGCTGTATACTCCCCAGGGAGCTGAGAATGATTCTTGAGAGCACAATGATCGAGTGACCGGGGTAATAATACCGCTTTGAGCATTCCCCTGAGTGGTGTGGAAATATGCGCAATATAAATAGCCTGTTATTAAATTAATAATTTACCATGTAGCAAGTAGTTTATTTGTTGCTCGGGTATCTATGCTGTAGTAATCATAGTCTGTGTAACAGTATTTGTTGTGATTAAAGGAAATATATTTAAAAAGTAAACTGCTTTGTTTCAGAGTGAAAACTGATAATGACGATGCAGACCCTGAAGTGTGTTGTGATCGGGGACGGGGCCGTGGGGAAGACCTGTATGCTGTACTCGTATACCACAAACACCTTCCCTCAGGATTACGTGCCCACGGTGAGTGGGGAGGGGACGGGGCCGTGGGGAAGACCTGTATGCTGTACTCGTATACCACAAACACCTTCCCTCAGGATTACGTGCCCACGGTGAGTGGGGAGGGGACGGGGCCGTGGGGAAGACCTGTATGCTGTACTCGTATACCACAAACACCTTCCCTCAGGATTACGTGCCCACGGTGAGTGGGGAGGGGTGGGGGTGGGGTGGGGTGACGTGGTGGGAAACACTTGTATACTGTACTACACATACGTTCCCTGATTACGTGCCCACGGTGAGTGGGGTGGGGTGGGGGTGACGTGGTGGGAAACGCTTGTATACTGTACTACACATACGTTCCCTGATTACGTGCCCACGGTGAGTGGGGTGGGATGGAGTGGGGGTGATGTGGTGGGAAACACTTGTATACTGTACTACAAATACGTTCCCTGATTACGTGCCTACGGTGAGTGGGGAGGGGTGGGGAGGGGGTGACGTGGTGGGAAACGCTTGTATACTGTACTACAAATACGTTCCCTGATTACGTGCCTACGGTGAGTGGGGAGGGGTGGGGGTGACGTGGTGGGAAACGCTTGTATACTGTACTACACATACGTTCCCTGATTACCTGCCCACGGTGAGTGGGGAGGGGTGGGGTGGGGAGGGGGTGATGTGGTGGGAAACACTTGTATACTGTACTACACATACGTTCCCTGATTACGTGCCCACGGTGAGTGGGGTGGGATGGAGTGGGGGTGATGTGGTGGGAAACACTTGTATACTGTACTACAAATACGTTCCCTGATTACGTGCCTACGGTGAGTGGGGAGGGGTGGGGAGGGGGTGACGTGGTGGGAAACGCTTGTATACTGTACTACAAATACGTTCCCTGATTACGTGCCTACGGTGAGTGGGGAGGGGTGGGGGTGACGTGGTGGGAAACGCTTGTATACTGTACTACACATACGTTCCCTGATTACCTGCCCACGGTGAGTGGGGAGGGGTGGGGTGGGGAGGGGGTGATGTGGTGGGAAACACTTGTATACTGTACTACACATACGTTCCCTGATTACGTGCCCACGGTGAGTGGGGAGGGGTGGGGGTGGGGTGATGTGGTGGGAAACATTTGTATACTGTACTACACATACGTTCCCTGATTACGTGGCCACGGTGAGTGGGGAGGGGTGGGGAGGGGGTGATGTGGTGGGAAACACTTGTATGCTGTACTACACATACGTTCCCTGATTACGTGCCCACGATGAGTGGGGAGGGGTGGGGTGGGGTGGGGGTGACGTGGTGGGAAACACTTGTATGCTGTACTACACATACGTTCCCTGATTACGTGCCCACGGTGAGTGGGGAGGGGTGGGGTGGGGTGGGGGTGATGTGGTGGAAAACATTTGTATACTGTACTACACATACGTTCCCTGATTACGTGCCCACGATGAGTGGGGAGGGGTGGGGTGGGGTGGGGGTGACGTGGTGGGAAACACTTGTATGCTGTACTACACATACGTTCCCTGATTACGTGCCCACGATGAGTGGGGAGGGGTGGGGTGGGGTGGGGGTGATGTGGTGGAAAACATTTGTATACTGTACTACACATACGTTCCCTGATTACGTGCCCACGATGAGTGGGGAGGGGTGGGGTGGGGTGGGAGTGACGTGGTGGGAAACACTTGTATGCTGTACTACACATACGTTCCCTGATTACCTGCCCACGGTGAGTGGGGAGGGGTGGGGTGGGGTGGGGGTGATGTGGTGGAAAACATTTGTATACTGTACTACACATACGTTCCCTGATTACGTGCCCACGATGAGTGGGGAGGGGTGGGGTGGGGTGGGGGTGACGTGGTGGGAAACACTTGTATGCTGTACTACACATACGTTCCCTGATTACCTGCCCACGGTGAGTGGGGAGGGGTGGGGGAGGGGTGGGGGTAGGGGGAGGTGTGGGGAGGTGGTGACGTGGTGGGAAACACTTGTATACTGTACTACACATACGTTCCCTGATTACCTGCCCACGGTGAGTGGGGTGGGATGGAGTGGGGGTGATGTGGTTGGAAACACTTGTATACTGTACTACACATAGGTCTCCACAGGATTACCTGCCCGTGGTGAGTGGGCTGGGGTTACAGTGAGTGAGTGTGTTGGGTTTAACGCCGCTTTTAACAGGATTCCAGTTATATCGCGGCGTGTCAGCTTAATGTGGGAGGAAGCCCGAAGTGATGCATGTCTCAGACGTTTACCACTTCGGTGAAACCCACGAGCACGGGTATGGTGCTGACAAACCTAGAAACATAATCGGGGCGAACCGGGATTCGAACCCACAATCAAAGGTTTCAGGCGTGCCCAAGGGACGCAACTCTGCACAGCGAATCGCGGCGCCTTAGACGACTGGGCCACCCGTGCCCCTGGGCGGGGTTATAAGGTGATTTGGATGAGGTGTGAAATACTTGTATGCTGTACACCGAATACATCTAACAGGATTACCTGCGACGGTGAGTGGGGTGGGGTGGGGTGGAAAACACCCGTACTCCTGTATATACGTGAGTGGTCTCTTCCCAACTATGCCCCCAAATACTTACCCAAATGCAGTCTCTTAAAATATATAATTTTCATAGAAACAAACAACTCCATTTATATTGAAAGGACTCCAGTGAGATGTGGGAAATCTAGACTTGCTTCATTTCGGGCCATAGCATTACATTGAGGGCTGGGCGAATAGCCAAATATGTTTTGTTTTTCAGGGACTGAGAGACAGACTACCCTATAATGTGCAGACATGGTCTTAACTGTTCTTGAGTTGATAGAATCTATTGTATGACATATGGATTCTTTTGAATTGATATTCAATTCATTGTAGGCTTAAATAATAACCTGGGATACAGATGCACAATAGATGATTAAATGTATTCATACTTATATCTACGTCATTGTAGGTCATTGTCTTCATAGAACTCTCCCTTAGCGTTTCGCATTGGCTTTCATTCATACCCGCGGGGATTTGGGTCAGAATATGTTTGTGCTTGTACGTTGGCACTGGATGGATTGTGTTTCGTTTGTTGTTTAACGCCGCATTCAGCAATATTCCAGCTATATGACGGCGGTCTGTAAATAATCGAGTCTGGACCAGACAATCCAGTGATTGACATCATGAGCATCGATCCACGCAATTGGGACACGATGACATGCATCAACCAAGTCAGGGAGCCTGACCACCCGATCCCGTTAGTTGCCTCTTACGACAAGCATACTTGCCATACTGCTGAAGACTTAATCTAACCCGGATCTTTACGGGTGGAATGTTTTACGTGGTAAAGTTGATTGCGCGTCGTCGTTCCCCGACGGCGCGGGAGGTTGCTCAAAGTATTATTCACTGGATTGTCTGTCCCAGACTCGATTATTTACAGGCAACAGTCACTAAGCTGGGATATGGAGTTTGGCGTTGAACAAATATAAAAAACACATCATTGTTGATTTATGTTACAGTTACAACACATTTGAAATGAATACAGGTTTGACACTGTGTTTTTCTTTGTTTGTTTCCCAGGTATTTGACAACTATGCGGTGACTGTGATTATCGGGGGAGAGCCCTACACGCTGGGGTTGTTCGACACGGCGGGGCAGGAGGACTACGACCGACTCCGCCCCCTCAGCTACACAAACACAGACGTGTTCCTACTCTGTTTCTCAGTTGTCTCCCCTTCATCATACACAAACATCAAAGAAAAGGTGAGCTGTCATTATTAACACGAGGACGAGTTTTCCTTTTGTGTGTGAGAGTGAGTATGGTTTTACGCCGCCTTTTTAGCAATATTCCAGCAATATCACGGCGGGGGACACCAGAAATGGGCTTCACGCATTTGACCCGTGTCGGGAATCGAACCCGGGTCTTCGGCATGACGAGCTAGAGCTTTAACCACTAGGCTACCCGACCGCCCTTTTCTTTTGTATACGACGAATTAGCTTATTTTGTTTCTTGTTTCATATTACCTTTCGACGTTAAACCCACCATACATTTTTTTCCTCCTACCACTTACAAAGTTGATTTGGGGTGCCCCCGAATCCATATGCTTTCACATTGACATTATTTTATCTAAACAAAAATCACAATACCTACGGTGTTCCTAGAAATCACAGGGTTAGTGTCTAAACAGATCGTACAGGTGACCTTGTTAGTTACCAGGATCCGCTGATTGTGAGTTCGAATCTAAGCTAAATTCACCAGTATCCTGCTCCTGGATTTCACTCTGAAGACATATATCTACAACGAGAATCATTCTCGCTTTACTTCTAAATATGACACTATTTACTGCTTGAAACGTCATTATGATACGAACGTCTCCTCGTTCTATTTTCTCGTCACGCCGAAGACCCGGGTTCGAATCCCGACATGGGTACGATGTGTGAAGCGCATTTCTGGTGTCCCCCGCCGTGATATTGCTGGAATATTGCTAAAAGCGGCGTAAAACCAAACTCACTCACTCACTCATTCTATTCCAGTGGATCCCCGATATAATGCACCACTCTAGGGAAACGCCGTTCCTTATAGTGGGGACAAAGACAGATCTCCGAGGTGACCTGGAGACCATCAACAAACTAGCCAAGAGGAAGGAGCGACCCGTCACATTTGAACAGGGGAGACAACTCGCAAAGAACGTGAAGGCTGCCAAATACGTAGAGTGCTCTGCCCTTACACAGGTGAACTTTTTCTATGATTTGATAAGCGTGGTGTGTAGGAAACGAAATCGTTGCGACTTTGTTTAATTTGGTTTGTGAGAAAACACATTCTTGGTCACATAACTTGTTATATAAAGCAATGCATTTTCCTCTAACTTCAATATTTATTGTGTTTATGCAGGGTATGAAACTCCCCAAACTTTCAGCCAGACCACAGGACTTGCTAGCTGAAATACTTGCCAGCCCTGACCAAAACCTGTCTGCCCACTATAATCATATGTTTCTCAGGATAAGCTAACGGGGTTTCTTTTTGGTTACATTTTATCATTCATCTTTACATGTGAATTAATGCTTATCATTGGGAAATATTTAGAATATTTTCACATATGAAATATAACCCGACCGTCGGGCAGGGGGATTTGAAAATCTGGCAGCCCGAGTTGAAATCAACCCGTCTCGGACGGTCGGGCAGGCAGGTATTTCGAACACTGGTTTATGGAAGTTTATAAACATAAAACTCGGTGTGCACATTTTGCACGTTTTGCGCTATATTACCTATATTACTCCATTGGGGCGGTCGGGTAGCCTAGTGGTTAAAGCGCTCGCTCGTCACACCGAAGACCCGGGTTCGATTCCCAACATGGGTACAATGTGTGAAGCCCATTTCTGGTGTCCCCCGCCGTGATATTTTCTGGAATATTGCTAAAAGCGGTGTAAAACCATACTCACTCACTCAGTTATATAAAACAATGCATTTCCCTTGTACTGGTTCGACAGGTGGTACGCGCAGATAGCTGTGCTCTTCATGCAGTTATTGATAAACCGGATCTCACGTCAGTCAGTTGTTATTAGAGTTACCTACCCTTGTCATGTACAAAACACGGAAAATCCACGACAGTCTCTCGTTTGACGTGAACCAAAGTTCAGACCTCTTACTGTGCATATCAAAGTCAGCTGGGGAAATATTAGTCAGCGAGGGGGTTTGTTTAAACACTGCTTTGCATAATAGTTTGAGATATGTCACGTGTCAGCGTGATGTGGGAGGAAAGCCCAAAATAATGCAGGTCTCAGACGTTTACAACTTTGGTGAAACCCGCGAGCACGGGTATGGTGCTGACAAACCTAGAAACATGATCTGTGCGCCTCCATATCATTATAAAACATAAGGGGGCACGGGTCGCCCAGTCGTCTAAGGCGCCGCGATTCGCTGTGCAGAGTTGCGTCCCTTAGGCACGCCAGAAACCTATGATTGTGGGTTCGAATCCCGGTTCGCCCCGATTATGTTTCTAGGTTTGTCAGCACCATACCCGTGCTCGTGGGTTTCACCGAAGTGGTAAACGTCTGAGACCTGCATCACTTCGGGCTTTCCTACCACATTAAGCTAACACGAGGTGAAATAACTCGAATACTGTTAAAGGCGGAGTTAAACCCAACTCACTCACTATACAACATACGGGAACAATTAGCGTGATTCTAGTTATGTTCTGGTGGAAGCTATCTGATTCATACCAAACTATTAGTCCGGTCCCATTTACCAGTGGTGAAACTTGCGAACCGGGATTCGAACCCACGATCTCAGGTTTCTGGCGTGCTACATCGACGCAATCCAAAACAGCGCAATCCGGCGGCGTATACGACTGGGCTACTTGCTCACCTCTTGTTCAGTGCAGGGAGCGCATGATAGGCGAACCAGTCCGTTGCAATAATATTCGCATTTGTATTGTTAAAAAATGAAATTTAATCAGCGTTGAAAAATGGATTCTTCTGCTGTCCCATCATTTGAGATTTATCACTCCTTTTTTTATTCTGGCAGCGTGGATTGAAGAATGTTTTTGACGAGGCGATCCTGACCGCCTTGGACCCACCAAAGCGGAAACCTTCCGGTAGAAAGTGTGTCATTCTGTGATAGGGGTATCACATGGACAGTTCTTGCTAAATAGACGTCTCGTGGATGATGGTGGACGCAGAGAAACACTTTCATCTAACAGGATAGAACATTACTCACGACCTTGTTAATAGCAACACTTGAACTTGAATCGTCGGTCAACAGTGAAATTATCATGGTGCACGTCAAGCTGGCCAAACAAGCATCACGAAGACCGGATGTCACTATTAAGTCACGTGTCCTGTGACGAAGTCAAGTGTAGACATGTGTACATAGATGGTGCTGTGACTTGTGATGGCTCACGATGGAACCGGAAGCTTCTCTCCCTTTGTAGTGCAATTATATGTTTAGCTCGGTTAACATTTGCCGTGCCTATTTCTACGTATGTTGGAATGTGGGGCTGTTGGGTAGCCTAGTTGTTAAAGCGTTAACTCGTCACGCCGAAGACCCGGGTTCGATATCTGACATGGGTACAATGTGTGAAGTCCATTTCTGGCGTCCTCCGCCGTGATATTGCTGGAATATTGCTAAAAGCGGCGTAAAACCATACTCACTGACTCACTATGTTGAAATGTGCATGCAGAGATAGCCACGTGTCTCTGTGGGGAAAGATAATCGTCAACACGATGGGTCCAAAATGACGAATTGCGAAATGATTTAACTGGAATACTTCTTACCGCGACGTGAAACAAAACAGAAGTATGTGTGGCCTGATTAATTAGAACTCTGAATGCCAAACGTACCGAGAACAAAGGAAGTATTGATTTAGAAGGATCGGAACTCAACTGATGTTTTCCTGCCTGAAATACCTTTTTCTTAGCGCCTCAGTAGAATCACATGGTTGTCTCATTTTCATATTTGGTGTTACCTTTACTATAAGTTTTGTTGTTTAATGTAAGTGTTTAAATTGTTTTAGGAAAACAAACATACATATGCATATACGCACACTCGCACAAATGCGCACAAAACTTCACTATTATGTTTTATTTATGTTCATATTTCCATTTATAATACGTTTATCCATTCCTGTGTATACAAATACACAACCTCACTACAATTCAATTGTGTTCATTGGGTATATTTGGCGAAGAGCACTTTCCTTTTTTGAAGTAACACATTCCTCATTTGAAACAAAACTTAATATACTAACAAAGCATAATGAAAATAAGCAAACGTTTTACTGGGTTGGGTTGGGTTGGGTTGGGTCGGGTTGGATTTTTCTTGCCTTAGATAAATAATCTTTCTAATCTTTTAATAAAATCGGCAAATGAAAATATGTACACACAATTTAAATCTAAAATAATCACTTATTTTAGCCTGGCCTGTGTTGCCATATTTTTCTTGCTTTTATTCTTATTTTTCTGAATGTCATTTTACTTTACTCTCTAGTTTACATTGTATTTAGAACTCTTAATATTCGACCGTTACATTGATAACCGTCATCGCATCATGTTCCTGAGAAATACGTAGATATGATCACATACATTTGACCTAATAATACTAAGTCGGAGAGATCAACACGAGTATCTATATAAAAGATGTGTTTAGATCGACGTTGTAAATAGCAATATTTGGACATATGTACATACTGAAATAAAAGAAATAAAGTTTTTTTTATCCCTTGGTTTGTGTCCTTTCGTCTATGTACTTTTAACTGCATAAACAGTTTTTAAAAAGTATCACTACGTCTAGAAATAAACAGTTTTTAAAAAGTACCACTACGTCTAGAAATCTGAAATAGGATGTGTGTTAATTGCATAATAGAATTCAAATTCATGCCAGTAGAATAGAAAAAAACAACACTTTTTTAAGTGGTAATAATTCACAGTTTGATTATTTAAGAATCTTCTTCAGTATAACCACAAGGCTTGGAGGGCTTAATCATTATGGAAATGTGTAGGAGGACTGAATGTGTCTTGGATTTGTTCATCGTATTGAATTAAAAAAATAATGATACATGGTTCACTCCAGGAATTTTCTGACATGGACCCTTTATGTGAAAATTTCAAATATTCCAGAGGTACAACCACACTTGCCCATACAGCACAATGTTAAAATGCCCCATTGTATTTAAAAATGCGGGACTTTTTTGCAAATTTAGGGGCAAAAGGACCAACCCTAGAATTATCCTGATGATAATATCCTGTAAAATTAAGTTAAAACGGCTCAGCGGACTAATATTTCGACAGGGTATATATGAAGCTCTACATTGCAGTTCCGATTTATTCATGAATTTTAGAGTAAAGGTGAACTATATTTTTCAAATTGAATATATATGTAAGAACATTACATTCTGAAAGGGGGGTAGGCTGTGTCTTGTGTACTGCTCGCTCATCTTTTTCACTGCATTTTCCTGGGCTGGCGGAATAAAAAACCCACAAGAGTTGTCTCCCTTGGATGTTTACTTCACTAATACTGATCAGTTTTGTTTGTATGATGTTAACGTCGCACTCAGCAATATGACGGCGGTCTGTAAATAATCGAGTCTGGACCCGACAATATGGTTACTGACATCATGAGCATCAATCCAGGCAGTTGGGATACGATTACATGCATCAACCAAGTCAGCGAGCCTGACCACCCGATCCCGTTAGTCGCCTCTCACGACAAGCATGGGTTGCTGAAGACCTGTCTTCCCCCGTATCTTCACCGTTCACGGGTCGATCAGTGTTTAGTTCTAACGAAATTTAGTATAGACACCCCTGGTATTAGTAGGTCTACGTCATGCCGACACCGGTGCAGTAGTATCATATTACGCGTTGATTGACAGGTGTACATAACAGATAAGATAAGACCTTCCATGCAAGTTTTTTAACAAAAACGAATTAAGAATAATTATGACCACTACATCAACATCTGACTTTGAGCAAGATAACAACTACGTCAGAAGGCAGTTGCAGTCACTGTAATCCATTCTACATGGACTGATGATAGGATGATTATGTTTAAGCTGTGGCACTATGTTTTTAAGGTAAGCATTATTCTTATTCAAAGGGGACCGCCTCCGTGGTCTAGTGGTAGAGCGTCCGCCCGGAGAGCGGAAGGTCCGGGGTTCGATACCCGGCCGCGTCATACCAAAAGACGTTAAAAGATGGTACTTGTTGTTACCCTGTCTGGCGCTCGGCATTAAGGGGTTAAAACAAGGACTGGTCGGCTCGGAGTCAGTATACTGTGTCTGAGTGGGCTATTCATATTAAACTGCGGCATGGTATCTCAGTGAGCTAGCACTATAAATCGGCATCAGTCCGGACTAGTACAAGCAGCCACAGACACACGTGCATGAACGTCGCTTTATAAGTGCAATAATCTTGGACGCGACGTTAAACCCAATTTCACCTCACCTCACCTCTTATTCAAAGGTACATTTCAACTCGGAACAACACAGACCCAAGGGCAGAATATTCCCTGTATAAAATACAACTAAAAGCCGACAAACAGATGACCCTGCTGATGATGTATGTGTCGTGGGGTCGCTGCTCATGCTGTCAACCACTCGTTTTAATGCCCATATTCGAGCCTTTTACCAGGGCGTGATTTAGTTCAGTTGAAATACTGTGACTTTGGCGTAAAACAACAATCAGCTACTCCTCGTTTTAACGCTGTAGTCACGTTCGGTTGACTCACAATGAAAACAGCAATCTGGACAGAATTGAACATGAACATGACACGACACTGCACGGTCTGTTGAGACATTTCGAGGTGTAGCTGCCTGGCTGTTTTAAGCACATCTGTATACCTGCATTGTCAGGGGGTGGTGTATGTGTTGATATGAATTCAAAGGGCGACGAGTCCGGAATCTGTGTCATATGCATCATCAACACAACAACATACCACAATATATGACCACAGTGTCGCAACTACCTGACTGTTTATAACGCTTATCTATACGCCAACCCCTGTGTTGAACACCTTTATCGATCAACAGTCTATTCCCAATCATCTACACACCAACGACACTCTCATCGACAATCTCCTCTCTCTCTCTCACTCTCCCTCTCTCTCTCCCTCCCTCTCACCATCTCTCTCTCCCCCCCTCTCTCCCTCACATCTCTCTCTCCCCCTCTCACACTCTCACTCTCCCCCTCTCTCTCTCCCTCTCTCCTCACACTCCCATCTCTCTCTCCCCCTCTCTCTCACTCTCTCTCTCTCTCTCTCCTCTCTCTCACTCCCAATCTCTCTCTCTCCCCTCTCTCTCTCCCCTCTCTCTCCCTCTCTCTCACTCTCCCAATCTCTCTCTCCCCATCTCACTCTCCCATCTCTCTCTCCCCTCTCTCCTCTCACTCTCTCACTCTCCCTCTCTCTCTCCTCTCTCTCTCACATCTCTCTCCTCTCTCCCTCTCTCTCCCTCTCTCTCTCACTCTCCCAATCTCTCTCTCCCCATCTCACTCTCCCCCTCTCTCTCTCCCTCTCTCTCTCTCCCTCTCTCTCTCTCTCTCCCCCTCTCTCTCTCTCACATCTCTCTCTCTCTCCCTCTCTCTCTCTCCCTCTCTCTCCCTCTCTCTCTCACTCTCCCAATCTCTCTCTCTCCCCATCTCACTCTCCCCCTCTCTCTCTCCCTCTCTCTCTCTCTCTCACATCTCTCTCTCTCTCCCCCTCTCTCTCTCCCCATCTCTCTCTCCCCTCTCTCTCTCTCACATCTCTCTCTCTCCCCCTCTCTCTCTCCCTCTCTCTCCCTCTCTCTCTCACTCTCCCAATCTCTCTCTCCCCCTCTCTCTCTCTCCCTCTCTCTCTCTCCCTCTCTCTCTCTCCCCTCTCTCTCCCATCTCTCTCTCTCCCCTCTCTCTCTCACATCTCTCTCTCTCTCCCCATCTCTCTCTCCCATCTCTCTCTCTCTCCCCCTCTCTCTCTCCCATCTCTCTCTCTCTCCCCTCTCTCTCTCCCCATCTCTCTCTCCCATCTCTCTCTCTCACTCTCCCAATCTCTCTCTCCCCCTCTCTCTCTCCCATCTCTCTCTCTCTCCCCCATCTCTCT